ATATAAAATGAAGGAAATCTACTGGGGAAAAATCTAATAAAATCAAGGTGAAACATCACAAGCAGATTAACTTAAGACTAAATTCATGTACTGATTTTTTTTAGTACAATCCCTTTATGGCATTACCTTGTTAGACATTTCCCTTTGACAGTGTTCTTTACAAGACAAAATCACCCAGTTCTGCACTCTGGAAAAAACAAGTGTGATTCATTATCACGTTCATCCACCACTGTGTGGGAAAACCTCAGGCAATTTATACTGTATGTTTAGATTCTTATCCATCACATACAATACCATCGGAGAGGCATTTGCTTGGTCCTAAATTCATTCTGCAGCAGTGCAACAACCCCAAACATGCAGCCAGAGTCATAAAGAACTATCTACAGTGACAAGAACAGATGGTAGAGCCCGCAGCCCTGGTGTCAACATTATGGAGTCTGTCTAGGATTACATGAAGAGACAGAAGACACCGCGAAAGCCTAAGGTCGCAGGAGAACTGTGGCACCTTCTCTGACATGCTTCCAACAGCCTACCTGCCAAGCAAAACCTGTGCATGGGCATCCAGAGGACCGGTGCTTTTCTCAGGGCAAAGGGTGGTCACATTAAATATTCATTTGGTTTGCATTCTGTCGAAAAGGCAACTTTATGGCATTATTTCAAAGGTATCAAAACCTTTTCTTTTTTTAAATTCTGTATTTCATGCAGTAAGCGGCTCTCAAAGGTGCAGGCAGGAAGTAGAATTAAACAACATAAGGCTCGGGGGCCAGAATTGACCCTGAAAACACTCCAGTATGGCCCATGGGATGGCTTTGGAAAATGTTAAGGGCACAAATTTTGGACTTGTAACTGTATTTTCATTTGTTTTTTAAGCTTTTTTTTTTCTTTTCTTTTTTTTACTGATAAAGACCTCCTTAAAACATTCATACTACATCTAAGTAAGTAATACATAAACAATTAAATGAAAGAAAGAGTATTACTTTATTATCTGCTATAGAAATTTTTATTTTTTACATTGCACTTTTTTCTCTAATATTAGGATATATCTGGGATTTAACCTCTAATGAGACCACAAATATGAGTTTGACATCCCACCTTCAGGTGGTCCGAACCACCTGAAGGCTGGTGCTGTCTGTGTGGGGATGTTCTTCCTGTGCTTGCATGGACTTGCTCCCACAGTCTAAAGACATACATATTAGATTACCAGCCAGTAGGTGTGAATGTGAGTGTGAATGGTTGTCTGTCTCTCTGTGCTGGCCTTCCAAAAGACTGATGACCGATGGATGAATGGATGGATTGCAATGTGCAAGTAGTATTTTTTCTTTCTCTTCATCAAGTCAGACTTGATTTTCCCTCTGTTACTGCAGTCTGCCCATACCTTATTGAGAAAATTCACATTGTGTGAAGTCCCACTACCTCATTTAGCATACAGTGAAATTGTTAAATGCAGCAAGATTGCCATTACCGTGAAGTACAAGCTGCAGGGGGAATCGTGACAAAATGTGATATCTTGTCAGCGGTTCAAGAAAGGTAAGAAACTGAATTCATGGACCAGAATATGAAGATTAAGACCTGGTTCAGCCTTAGATGTACAGTATTTTACTTTTACATTAAGATCACTAAAACAACAGTATAATGGCAACCAAATGGCTGACAGTATTATGCTGTAATGCTCATATTCTATCCAGCACTGCACTATAAGATTTTTTTGCAGTAAGAAACTGCTCTAGATTGCAGTAGGTCCACTGTATAATCACAGTTTCATGCTAGCTAATCTGGCTGACAGTACTTTACTGTAATTTTACAGGGAAATTTGTTACAGTGTATCACTCAGCCCCATCTCCTCTTCTTTTGGTCTCCACTACCTCTGCAACAGCCGTCTTAAATTAATGTTAAGCTAAGAGTTCAAGCTGCTCTAAATCACAGTCTCAGCCTTCAGTGAAGGTGGTGAGCCAAGGGTAAATGAAGTCAGCATTACTGCTTTCTTATTCGGCGCGTAAGGAAGACGCCTGGGGTTTGTGCAAGTGACATGCAATCAGTTGGTGGCTACGCTGCTTATGCAGCTAATGTCAGCAATCCACAGCAAAAATGCTCTGTCAAATTTCAGGAAAACCATTTTAAATATGAGCTTTCTTTGGCTTGAAATAGACCAGAATTTGAACCTTTGTTCCTTGTGAGAGGACATTTGCAACAACTGCATGTGGAACCTCATAGGTCCTCCAACATGACATGTGTATGTATGTGTACAAGTGTCTTACAAGTAGATGTGAATACATGAGTGAGGATTTTTTTTTTTTATGATGACAAAAAGTAAAAAGGTAGACGAACAGTGGGGTCGCTGTGTCCTTACTGTAAGGGTGTAGGAAGGAGAAGGATGAGTGTGTGTTGTGGTTTGTCAGAGCCGGTGCCCTGTCGCGCGCACACCAGGGAGGGAAAAAAGATAGGTGTGGGCGGGTAAGTCGGGGACTAGGTGATGGAGTGTGTGAGGCAGCAGAGGAGGGGGAGCGGAGTGATGGAGTGCTGGGTGGAGGGAGGGCGGAGGGTGATGAGTGTGTGCTCACAGTGTAAGTGACACCTCTCCTCCTCAGACAGATTGTCTCTCTCTCCCTGTAATGGGGACCCCGTTAGAGAACCTTTTCCCTCCATCTACCACCCCTTCTGCACACACACTTTGTCACCATTCCCATGTCTCTCTCTCTCTCACACTCTGTAACAATTTTTCTTCTGTATTTATTTTCTTCTATCTGCTCAGATATGTCCACAAATTGGCTACATTTCTGTGCATTTCAATTCCCCCCATTCTCTGCATAATTTTTAATCAATCTGCACCTCGTTCTGAGACCGCTGATTGTCAAGCAGTTTACGCTGGTTTACAGCTCAGAGAGCGAGAAGAAAAGCGAAGGAAAAATAGCAAACGAGAGATCAGAAAGGAAGGAGAGGGAGGATATCAATATTCCCACTGCCGGTGGGATCCTCACAATGATTTTCTTCTCAGCTCCTGTTTGAATCTGACAGCGAAAATTCTGCATAGCTAGAGAGCCCATTTATCCCTTGTCCAACATAGTTCCCCGTGCCAATCACACTGAGATGAATTATATGCGTACTTGCTTTTAAGGACACTCAGATACTCACAGAGGATCTGAGGATACACAGGCTCAAAGAACCACTTGTACTTCCACGCACAAGTCCACACACACACACCTGCCATTACCTCAAACAGGTATTTTGAACTAGACCCAAACGTGTTCGTTTTCTGAAATTTAATCAACAGCAGGTGTATGTCAGGGTGCGTGTGTGAGACAGTGGATGTATGTGATTGCTTGTGTGTGCCCGTGCCCTCACTAACAATCATCTCAGCAAACCAGATCAGAGGCTATCTCTTCGCTTCAGAGGCGCCGCGCTGGCGGGAGAGCGACGCGCAATCACAAAGACACCTCAGACAAATAGGCTTCATAACTTGTCTGTAACAAACAATCACTGGGGCCTGAGCCCCTATCCCAAATGAAATCTCTCGCACCTGTGTAGATGCAAGGATACAAAGGAATTTTTAATGCTCCCCCGAGTCAGGTACGAGTCTCCATGGTGATAGCAGAGTCGCTATGGTGATAAAGAGATGGCGTTCAAAACAATGGAAGCATTTTTATGAAAAATGTGAGGGAGGGGGGGTCTTATCATGAAAATATATTCTGTATAGAGCCATACAGCCCAAACCATTTGTACTCCTAATGAACATATGCGCACAAAAGCAAGTTTCATACACTTTACAGGGTCTGAAACTATGCCAACCAGCATGTTTGCAACATTGTAACACAATATACAACCTGCCAGGTACCCACCAACACACTTCCCACTGTTTTTGCTAACACTGCAGTACCATATGAGCTAGATAAAATGGTCATAGCAACTACTCAGTGTAGCACGAGTCTGCATGCACATAGCAACACTACACTGTAACAAATGTACTTTTTAAAATAGAATAAATGAAGACAATTTTTACAGTGTGCCCACTGTAATTATTCGTGTACTGTAAAAAAATCTTTCTGTGCTGTACAGAATTGAAGATTTATTGTATAATAATTGTTCCATTGCTATCACACTTGTTGACATAGTTTGGCTTATACAACTATTTAAAGCTACCTAAAACCTTGGAAGCAGACCATTTACATTTCGGTGAGTCCCAAGTAAAATTGCTGGATTAAACCAAAAGGGCTTCAGTTTGCTGTTAATACTGATTTTTTTTACTTAAAGTAGGGTAAAGTATTTAGCTTTATTCACCAAAAAAACACTACATTGCAATACAAAATATTCTGTATTTTTACTTTTAAGTCTCACCAACACAGTATTCAAACTCTACAGATATACATCATCCATTCTTAGCATGTCAACATTATCCAAACATCAACTCCAGAAATGTCAAACCAACATCCAAACAAGTAGTTACCTCGGTGTTGAAGCTGTGAAGAAGCCTTTCAACTTTTTTTGAGCATCCGGAGTCTCATTGGCAATGCTGTAACATCAACGCCTCATGAATGTCTTTTCCAACTTCACACAAAACCCACCATCTAAGCATCCACCCACAACATCCTTCAAAGTATCGCTTCAAAAAATCCAAACGTCACAACATGTAAGGTAACCAGAATATTATTCACTCTAAATTATTCTTAGATGCTTTAGGATGTGACCGTTCTCTAGCCTGCGCGAGCTCTTATCTGTTGGAAGAATTCATTATTTTCCGTCTCTCGGCTTTAGATATGTAATTTAGCAGTCATTTGTGGAAAATTTAGTGTGAGAAATAGACCAAATGAAGGCACGTTAAAAAAAAGGCTTTTGGATCTGATGTTTGTAACAGTGACATTTGCATAATTTCTCGCTTTTAAAAAATGTCTCTATTGCTCATTTCAAAATATGTAAATGCATAAACCTTAGATGATTATACTACGCAAAAAAAAACCCTTTCATTTTACACAACTGTAAAGCTTACCTCGTTCTTCTCTCTTCCACAGGCCGTAGACTATGAGAGTCGGAGCTCCTATTCCTTCTCTGTTGAGGTCCTTAACCCGATAGTGGACCCCCGCTTCCTACGTCGAGGCCCCTTTAAAGATCGGGCTTCAATCCGAGTTGCAGTCCTGGATGCGGACGAGCCACCGAGGTTCTCTCGGGCCAGATATCACATGGATGTTTCAGAGAACTGCCCGCCGGCCTGCACAGTGGGCCGAGTCAGTGCAGTAGACCCCGATACTGGTCTGACCAATAATATCAGGTAGAGTACAAAGCCTCTGCATTTCAGCAGGGCATGTAGTCTTCCTATACATTTAGGTTGCTACTTTTCACTGTTGAGATAGCAAACAGCCTACCTGGGCTCCTTTTGAACAGGTTTTTTTTTTTTTTTTTTTTTTAAAAAGCTAGTCTTTCCAGTTTTCATGCTGAGATAGTAGCTGTAACTTAATCTTTGGTGTAAAACATGACACTGGTATCAGTTTTATCATCTGCCACCCAGGAAGAAAGCAAATAAGCCCATTTCTCAAAATGTTCCTCTCAGTATTTGCTGTTTATGAACTCATAACAAAACAGCTTTACAGGAGTTTTATTGCTGAAAGACAAATCAAGCATTTAATGGTGCTGGGACTTATATATATCTTCATTTGTTTTACTGTTTTAGAGGATATCATTTGTTTTTTGTCCAGCCACAAGCAAGGGATAGCCAGGCTTTTTGAATTAAATTCAAAGCAGGCTCTTCAGCTAAAAGAAACAAGACACAACAATAAGAGCTAACCAAATAAAAATAAGCCAACCAAATGCCCACACAGTGTTCCCACGAGCCAGACAGAAACCACAGACGCTTGCAGCTTCCAGTGCTTCGCTTGTGTTTGCGGTGGGTTTTGTCTCAAATAGTATGAGGAGGGAAGCAAGCGATTTGTCTGTAAAAACCACAGAAAACCGTGTCCCAATTAAAAGCAGAAGTGCTAAAAGCGAGTATGTGGGGAGGAATGATAGCTGGTATATTCATGGAGATATTTAGATAATCGGTAGCACTTCAAAAGAACTCTTATCAGCTGTGATAATCTCACTATATTAATTCTTTGGCCATTTGAATGCCGACTTCCTTATCGCTCCCTCACACACTTGCCCTGTCTGCTTCTTTCGCTCCGCACCCCACTGCCTTCCCCGCTTGCATCTTCCTTTCACTCATTCTTTCGATATTTCTCCCTGCCCTCTCCTCATTTCACCCGTCTATATCCTCAAACCCAACTTTCTCTTCTTCAGGTTCTCCATTGATCCTCAGTCAGACCCAGAGGCTCTGTTTCGTATCACACCAGAGACCGGTCTCATCACCACAGCGATGGAGCTGGACCGGGAGCGTGAGCACTGGCACAACATTACAGTCATCGCCACCCAGAGAGGTCAGAGGTCACTCTTCTTACGACACTTAATCCGGAGACATCGTTAGAAGTCGTTCATTGGATTATTTATTTTATTAGAGCTAACCCTTGACAACGAAGCTAGCATTTTCCCCACCTCTGACACCTTAACCACTGATGAGTAAGAGGTTTAAGAGACTAGAAACTGTGTTTTTTACGCTATCTGAAAGGCACAGTATCCACTGTATGATGCAGTTTACTAAGCGGCTTAGCTCTCAAGTCATCAAACCATGAGAGAAATGCTGTTTGGCGCCATGAACAGTTTGTTACAGCGCGTCAGAGAATCAATTGATCCGTATTGTGCAAGTTATCTGATGCCGCAATAGATCTGTTCTCGTAAGGATTCAACTGGAAACACTGAATTAAAGCAACAAATCGAACTCAGGCCTTGATTTGCCGACAGAACATGATAGCACAGGGGATCGGTAAATATCTTTCTGTTTCCAAGTATGTAGGATGTCAAGCAACAAGACAGTTAAGTTCAAGTTATACATGTTCCCTCAGTAAAAAAATGATAAATAGAAAATGCCAGGGGCATGATCATCAGTAGGTTCCACTAGTAGCTGCTCTCAAGCTTTCAGTCATGATTAAGGTTATCTAACTGTCTCTTGTCATTTGTGCAATTTAATTAATAATGAATTTTGATTTAATGAGTATATATTTAATGTGCTGTTGATTCTTTCATAAATGTATTCACATCGGCAGAAGTAAAGCCAATTATAGTCCAGTAGGCCCAATTACAGCTCAGCCCCTACATCCTGTAATAACACACTTTAAGTCTCGTTGCTTGCTCACGTGGAGGCTTGGCAACAATAACAGATGTTCCAGAACATCTAGCTTAAAATTGCTGTCAGATATAAATGTGTTAAAGATACGTGTTCATCCATCAGGTAGCAGGATACCAGCCACTTCAGTAGGTACACCAGCTCCAACACTTATTAATCTCCCAATCATATGACAGCAGTGCATTCAGACATGGAGATATCAAGAAAACCTGCTGAAATTCAAACTGAGACACTGGCAAGAAAAAGGTGGTTTAAGTAAATTTGAATGTGACATGGTTGTTGGTCTAGACTGAGCTTTTCAGAAACTCAGACTTTGCTATACAACCTTCTCTAGTGAGAACAGCTTTATTAGAAAAAGAGAAAATATCCAGCGAGTGGCAGTTTTCGTGGAGAATATGCCTTGTTGACATCAGAGGTCTGAGGAGAATGGCAGACTTTGGTTGTAACCACTCACTACGACCAAAGTACACAGAAGAACATTTCTGAATGCATAACAGGTCAAACCTTGAAGCAGATGGGCTTCAGCAGCAGACGATCACACAGGCCTCCACTCCTGTCAGCAAAGAACAGGAAACTGTGGCTGCAATTCACACAGGCTCAACAAATCCATCCTACCTTTTATCAACTGTAAGCAGGTGTGGAGGTTATTTTCTTTACACTCTACGCTTTAGATCACTCAACTGAGCATCGTTTAAATGCCACAGCTAACTGAGTATTGTTACTGACCTCTCCATCCCTTTATGGAGGGAGACTCAAACATACTCAAACAGGAGTAAATAGGAATGCATTAGCTGGCTTTTATTGTGTATGTATTAATATACATGCAGTATAGTATTTATCACTGTGTGTATGTGACAACCTTCACTGCCATGACGGAACATATCATCCAGTTCCAAACTTGCAGTTAATTTATTATTATTATTATTTTAGTACAAGGATACATCGTTAAAGAATATGTTATTTTTTCATTCGATTTCTTGACAAGAAAAATAGTAAATAACACCACATCAGCTTTTCTTAAAATGCCCTTCAGCCAGGTTAGTTAATGGATGGCACAGCCTTCGCAGCTTATTTAAATGTAAATAATTTATTTTAAAGCTTACTTAAGCTTTCAGGTTCACAAACTATGACCCTGAGAAATTAGAAGCACCAAATGAAGTAGTGTTGTGACATTTTCTGATTTTAATGTATATGACAAACTCTACAATAAAGTTATTTTATTGTAACCCAAATATTTGTCAGTTTTAAATGAATCCAGACATTAACCTTAAACATAATATTGATGAGAAGAATGAATTTCCATTTGAGGGTATAATTCAATAAACTTTGTAACACATTATTGTAACTGGAACATATCCATTTTACAGTAAATTTGGCTTGTCAAATCATATAATCACATTGATACTGTAATCATCACAATATATTTAATAATCTAGAATAAATTAAATCATATTGTTGTGAAATGAAAACAATATGATGCTTTTATAAAGTGTTATAGATGCATAAATGTTTAAAAAAAGGGTATTTTTGGTTAGTGTTCAGGTGTTAGGCAACATGATAACATAATAAATGATATAGAGAAGAACCTTTATGGGTTTAAGTTGTATCTGTATGCCAACTTTGGTTGTTCAACTTCTGTTCACATTTACAGACAAACCAAGACATTGAGATTTTGTGTATTATAGTAAAATTCTACTTTTAATTAAGTATTTTAATATAGCTACCTAATTTAAACAAATTCACTCATTTTTTTTCATCTATTAATCTATAAATGCTTTTTTCATCTATTAATTACTGTAGAGAGGGCGACTTCATACTTCTTTAACTCAGAGTATCACTCTGAACACATATCTTTATTTACGCAGCCCATTGCACTCTTGGTGTCACAGCTCCCAAAAAGAGCAAGCTGAGCACAATATTGCATGTTGTGGGGATGCACTTGCGAAGATATTTTGTTAGTGGAAAAAAACAACACAACGTCTTGTGTTTTGGACAAACCAAATGCATTAAGGACTGGATAATTTAATGTAATTATGCAAGCATTTCTTTCTTTTCTTTGATGTCACTGATTTGACTTTTTCTCTCTCTACATTTATGTATTTTTAGAAGTCAGTGACAACCTGTTTTCTTGTTCAGTTTGCTGGACGGACGTATTACAATTAATACCAGCATCCTGTTAAATACTGGCTTTGCTCCAGTAGCTGTGTCTGGCAGATGACAAGTCATAAAAGCACTCAAAATAATCCAACTGGTTTGTTTATAAGTAGAAGTATTGTTGGAGAATTCCATCCAATGTCTGCTGTGCTCAAGGAAAAAGAAGTTGTTTTGCTGCCAAGTTTTGTTCTGGACAAACTTAATCTTTACTTAAAATCTACTCAGGGTTCCTTGTGGCAGCAATGTGTTGGTAGGACTGTGGCGGCAGCACACTGAGTGCCTGTCTTGAATAATGAGCTCTATCTAATAAACAGACTGTTGGAGACTGTGTTGACATAAAGCACAGTAGGAGCCCTGCCATGGCCACAGGCAGGCCAGCTCACCCTGTGGCATTACAGCAAGAGCTCATTTTCAGCTTTTCAGCGATGGGAACCAGTTGCTGTCATCCATGACACAGTGTTACTGCTGTTGGTTTAAAAAAACATGGTGTGGGAATGTTATGAATGTGTGTGTGTGTGTGTGTGTGTGTGTGTGTGTGTGTGTGTGTGTGTGTGTGTGTGTGTGTGTGTGTGGGGCTTGGTTTACAGAAAGTGTAGTCCAATGTGTTTCACGGTTGCCTGCCTAGATAAAGGATGTGTGCTGGTGAGCCTGGGTTGTGTCATAGCTGCCTAAAATGTAATGATGAGTGTTCAGAATGCTAACTTCATGTGTTTCGAGCGCGGCTTGTGAGAACTTCATGTTCAAGTGTGCGTATAGCTGAGTGAATGGGGTGTAGGGGACCTTATGCCAATCCATTTAAACTGCGCTCTTGTGTAACTGCATGCAGATTCGCTGCCTTCTGCACCCCTCTTCTGCCTTTTCTCTCTCTTTGTTGAGAAAACACAAACACACACACACACTTTATGCTGCGAGAAGTGCTGGCTATGAAAAGAACAGTTTGATGAGGAAAATTTTAACTGATATGGAAGCATCAGTCATACTCCAGCTGGGAGCCTGCGAGCTGTAACACAAGCCAAATGAAACCAAATGCACTGCTGTTTATTTAGCCAATTGTACGCTCACTAATGTGATGTAATGTGAAGTTTTTGGACAAAGTCTTGAAATACTTGATTATGCCTATGAGGACGACTGCATGGGATTAATGGACCGATGACTTGCACCACTGTATTTGTATTGTACTCAGTAGTGTCTTTTGCCGTTTTAACATTGTCTTCATATTATTTAGTTTATACAGCTGTGTGTGCGTGTTTTTGGAGGCTACGTTCTAATATGCTTTTCTCTGGCTCTTTCAGACAATCCCAGCCAAGTCTCCAGAGTTCTAGTTGCAATAGAGACCTTAGATCTGAATGACAATGCACCTGAGCTGGACAGGCAGTACAACACAGCCATGTGTGACTCCTCCTCCATCGGACAGGTCAGTATGTGTTTAAACTACTTGAGGTCTTTATTTCCATTCCATTCCAGTGTATATAAAATGTTCATTTTAAAGACATGGAAAGACACTAAAACACATGTTAAGGAAACAAGCCGGGTTATTACTGGAACTACATTCTGGCACTACACATTTCTCAGTTTAGGTACTTGGACTGCCAGCAGTGCTAAAGACTGTAATTTTTCAAGAAGATGTGAAAAGACTTTAAGTGATGACTACACAGCAGCAGCAGCAGCTGTGTTGTCTTTTTGTCTACATGTGTGGCGCTCGTGGTTTTTCGAGGTGTCAGAGCCCAACACACAATCGCTGCAGTTGCATGGGTAAAAGCTTACAAATAGAGTGGCAGGGGTATAACGCAATCAGAATGTAAAAGCCAGAGTAGACATCTGGACTGACTGAAAAAGAAGCTGTTCTGTCAGACATGCAAAATGCATGACTGAAAACGCTTTTTAGACACACTGCTAATACTATAGTCTCACGTTTCAGTCAAATTCGACATATCGTTAGTTTGAATAAAGTCACATAACTGATCACATGGTTACAGTCACTAACCAGTGGCCATTGGTTTGTGGCCAAACTGCTAGCGTTATTAACCTTAAGAAGCTAACATTTTCAGCATATTCATTGTTTTCACCTTTTTATTTTATATTAAGATAAGATAAGATAAGATAAGACTGACTTTTTTATGTATACATATGAGCAGAAGCTTCAAAACCAGTTTTATCTGAAGCCTGAGAAGCTGTGGCTGGATGAACTTTAATCATCCAAAAATCAAACAATATTGATAATCAATGTAATAATTGATAATAATAAATAATGCTTACTTTACATACATATTTTAGAAGTTACAGTTTTTAGGTTTGCATTCAAAGCCCCAAATTTCATACCATAAACACAAAACCTGGTTAGTTAGCTTCCCATTAAATAACTATCTTGACAATGTGTCACTTAGCTCGATTGCTACACTATTTCAGTAAATGTTAATGTTACCTCTTCTTTATATTGGCTGAGCCATACAGCCCACCACACGCCACATTTTGCACTAATTATACACATATTCAGAATAAATTAGTGTTACTATGTCATATGCAAAACATATGCAAACTTTGTATTTAATGTTCATGTACAGTCATATAATTACAACACAAACAGTCGACGAGTATTCAGCTTGGAGCATATAGAGTGTGGCAGAACAAAGCTGTGTCCCTTCAGATATGGCCACATGCAGCTACAGCATACTCATTCACCATGGAGCCAGGTGAATCCTCCATGGCCTGTTATCAGAACGCAGCAGTTATTTGCATTGTAATTAAACTCGAGCCTCCTCTCAGGCTGCCTCCCTCCTTCCTGCTTTATTTGTGTTCTTGTCTGTTTCTCTGCATCATGTTTTTCTCACTCGATCCTATCTCAATTATAGAAATCATCCCTTTGCTCTTCAGCCTCCCCTTGGAAACCCTGCTTAGCTCTCCTTTCTTTGCCTCCATATTCCGTTTTCCATGCTGGCTCTGTCACTATCATTTTGGTGTCGTGGCCCATCTGTTGTGTGTGTTTTTTGTTTTTTTTTTGTTTCCACTGGTGCTTTCATTGCTCTGCTCATGCCTTTGTTGTGTCACCACGAAATCTGTGATTCTATGGCAACGACGTCGATTTGTTTTTGCCTGTGATGTTCATGTTTGTGCATGCTGCAATTTGAGTGAGCGGCACGCAGTTCATAAAAGAAAGGCTATGATGTCTTCCCAGTGTGTTTGGGATAGTATATGCACATCTCTGTATGACACACCATTAGGCAAAGCCTGTTTGAATATTCACCCACAGCATCGGATAACATAATGCAACTGTTCTTAGCAAATCTTCTCAAGGCCTACAGACATCGACTAACTCAAAGAGCACGCTGCACCCTTCATCCCCGCATTGAGTCTAGTATCGAGCACTCGAAAGCGTTCCTGAAAGAGCGCCCTGCATAATGACGAACAGAGAGTTTCATTAAAAAGAAATTACCCATCAGCTCAGTCTGCGGGAGATTTCTTTAAGATTAATTTAGTTAAGATTGCCAATGAGGACTTGCGTAGATGCCTTTACAACACCGAAAGCTGCACGGCACTGTATTTACAAAAAAGGGGATTCACACACACACACACACACACACACACACACACACACACACGCACACACACACACACACACACACACACACACGGTTATATTTTTGGTGTGAGTATCAAACACAGTTCACTTATGTCACTATGCTAATTGTTTGACTTG